GCCAAGGTGCGAACTGACGTTTGGGTAGGAATTACCGAAACAGCGAAGTCCGCATTTAGTAGAATCGAGTGGAAGTTGCCAGATTTTACTCCAAGCGAACAAACGCGTCGGGTCTTCCTGGATTCTATTAACCCTCCCCCCACTTAGCGATGAATGGTAGAGGCCAAACACAATTTTTAAGTCATCGGCAAACAGGTAAAGCTTACCATATTTTGCTGCTTTAGGAATGTCATTTATGTAAAGGGGGAGGAGTGGGGCCGCAATGCACTACCTTGAATGACACTACTCAAAATAGATTTTGGGGAGGAATAGGTATGACTGAACTTTACTACTTGAGTACTCTGTCTAAGGAATGAGCTTATCCAAGACAGTAGAGGGTCACTAATTCCAATTGCTACAAGCTTCGGAACTAGCCGATTATGAGGTATTTTATCAAATGCTTTTTTGAAATAAAAATAGAGCACTTACGTAGGTGACTTCGTCAAAATAATCTGGTTAGCCAATACCACATGAGCGACCTTTTAAGAAGCCGTGCTTCATGGGGGGGGGGAAGAAGCTGAAGCGCGATCATGTAATCAATAATCTCTTGCATAACTACGTTCTCCGTAATGCAAGCGACTACAGACGCAATATTTGTGGAACGACAGTTTTGAATGCCTGACACCTGGCCAGATTTAAACGTCGGGGATATGTATGTCAGCTTCCAGAGGTCAGGGTAGCAAGCCTCCGTGGGGTATTAAGACTAGCTCCGTAAGGATCAGTAGCGTCTTCACCACCCTCTTTGAAAGAGCAGATGTGATCCCATCGGCCCCCGCAGCATATGAGTTCTTTGGTGGAGCAACTGCGTCAGCTATCTTCTTCTGTGTGGTGGAGTTGGCACCAGTATTTCTAGCACACTATCTTCATGTACGAAGCAGCTTGCACGGTGATAACTAAACAGCCCACAGATCTTGCTTTGGTCATCATAAAGAATGCCCCCATCAATGATCACACCACTAAGAATTACTCTAGGTAGGTTTAAACGGGATCTTAGAATTCTCACTAATAATTGAACATTGCCCGTTTGTGCGTTGCAGCTATTTTCTTGCTTGACTGCTTTCAGTGACCTATTTGACTTGAAGTTCTCATAAGTAATTTTTAGTGAGACAAGGGCTGAAGAGTCATTGGATTGATGGAAATCTCTGGCGTGTCTACTCATGCTTACGCGTACATTTTCTGGGATGAAGTTTACCTTCGACTTTCTAATTACTACTGATATCGCAGAAGCAATATGGTCGTGAATTGGATTCATGGAACTGTAGAAGATATCACTTAGTTCATGGGTTGAGCTACTGTGAAATAAGAACTTTAGTTCAAGCATCTCAACATGTACAGCATCTCTTCCCAGAAGGCATCTTTATGCCGTCTAATTACGTTTTTTTTCATCTGAGAGACGGTCGGAAGTCACCAAACACACTCTGTAATCGTCGCCCGGGAATTCTGGACTGACTTGAAGAGTAAAAGGCAGTAATCCATCGGTGAAAAAAGGGCGAAGTATGCCGTGATGGTTAGTTGGCTGCATTACATGCTGGCTTCATGCTCCAGAATCTAACACATTGATAAAATTATCAAACCGCCTAGGGGAAGTAAGTGGCTGCCACTTAATGCCAGGCATATTAAAGTCTCCGCATATAAGTTTCATGAGGCAGGGTAGCGTGGTTACATGAATAAACACTTCTGCAAGCCCGTCATCATAACCTGCGGCAGGGAAAGGAGGATGGTAGATACGCTCTAAGAGGATTGATATAGCATTTTGAAACTTCGCCACAACCCACAATGAGCCACTGAGCAAATTAAGTTCTGAGGCACCGCAATTTGTCGCAGCGATTTCGGACCTGATATGAATGATGCAATCCCCACCTCTGCTATTATATCTATCACCCCTAAATAAAGTATAGTTGCCGACAGCGACATCACTGTTGGGAATATTTGAAGCACACCAGGCTTCAGTGATAAATATAAGGAAGCGACAAGAAATAATCGACAACATGGTGATCTCACTTAGTTTGTTGCATATGAAACGGGCGCTAATCAGAAAGAAAGTCAAATAATTGGATAAACAGTAGTACTTAAGTCTGTTTTCGGAAACCTTGTTCTCGTAGGTCAGGTTGAACTGTAGTGGTGAGAAACGCGAGTAGAATTTCAGTTCTAGGACACAATAGGGGAATAAAGTATTCCTGAGTTGCTAATAATATCATCCTTTGTTATGTCAGGTGTTGACCTACTGTACGTAAGCCAGGGGGTGACAGGTTGGCGTGACATTTTCCCCGCCACTGTAGCGGTGGTGGGTTAGGGTCGAAATTAGCTGGCCTGAAAGCGTCATCATCTGAACAGCAAAAGGCGCCAATAGTTTCTGAATTCCATGGAAGTTCGGGTTTCAGCATGAGCTCAGGGTGTGGATGTCTGTGGAAATTTTTTTATGATTATGTATCCTTTGAGTGCCTAGTGGAACATAGGGCTTCAGTAACACGTCTCCAGTGCACTGTGTTCTCTGCAAACTTTTGAACCTGGCTCCACGACAGCCCACAAGCCCTCACTTCTTCCTCACACGATCTCCTCCGTGTCACTCTCGCCTCGGACGCCCGATTCATCGCTTCCCATTTGGCTTCCACTCGACGACCTAGCCTGGCGCGTGGTGTCCCCAGTTGGTCTTCTCAGCGTACGCCCAATCCATCTCCACTTCCTTCTGCTTATTTGTTCAGTGATAGGTTTTTGGTTGGTTCGTCACCCAACCAGAGTTCCTCCTTGCTTATTATTTCTGGCCATCTGATTTTCAATAACTAGCGTAGGCAGTTGTTGATGAATATCTGTAGTTTGTTGGAAATGTCTTTCGTAACGCTCTAAGTCTCTGAGCCATATAGGAGCACTGACTTGACGTTGGTGTTGAAAATCCGGATCTTGTTCCACATACTAAATGCAGAAGATCCCCACACTGGTTTCAGGTTGATGAAGACCCGTCTTGCCCTTCCGATCCTGGCTTTGACGTCTCCGTCTATGCTACCTATTGTTGAAAGGGTGCTGCCTAGGTAGGTGCGGGTGAAAGAGGCTACTCCCTTTAAGTTTCTCCCACTGACGGTGATTGCAGCTTGCCATTGTTGTTTATGGTGTTAGCTGGGTATCTTCATCACCTCTGTCTTCACTACGTTCACTTGAAGTCCCGCCTTCGCCGCCCTGCCTCCTTTGTCAACTTCTTAATTTTCGCCTGTAAATCTTCAAGTTTGTGTGACATCAGACACAAGTCATCGGCGAAATACAAATCTTCTGCGGTCCAGCGTACCCCTCTCTTCTCGCTTCTCACTTTATGTTGCATGATCCAGTCCACTACGATCAGGAATATCATGGGTGATAGTAGACAGCCTTGTTTCATTCCCATCTTCACTTCAAAAGCATCACTGAACTTCCCATTGTGAATTACTCGGCATGTGACATCTTCATATAGTTGTTGAATGGGGTTGATAAAGGTTTGTGGTATTCCGTAGTGTTGAAGCAGCAACTTCCTGTCAAATTACTTGTCGGTCGACGCTGTCGAAGGCCTTTCAAAGTCGATGAAGTTGAAATGGAGGGTTGACTGCCATTCTACGCTCTGTTCTATCATGATGCGACGCGTTGCAATTTGGTCGGCACATGACTTGTTCTTCCTGAAGCCAAGCGGCCATCCTGTTCCGGTCGTAGTTTTGAATCTAGTGCATCCTTTAGTCTCTCCAAGCTGATTCGGCGTAATATTTTACTCGGATGGATGGGGACAGGAGCATGATTCCTCACCAGTTCTTGCAAAGGCTTAGGTCTCCCTTCTTTCTGGAGTTTGACAAGGCAGCTCTTCTTCCAATCGCCAGGCACCTTCCCTTCGTCGAAAACCTTCTGCAGTAGTGGTGTGTGCATGTCCGTTGTTGTCTTTGCGTCTGCTCTCAGTGCTTCTGGTGGGATTCCATCTAGTCCTGCTGCTTCCCCGCATTTCAGTAGTTTTACGGCGTTCAGGACTTCCATTTTTGTTGGAGGATTTGTGTTCACTTGTAGCTC